TTCCAAATCGATAAAAACGGCCCGTGGCACGTGTTTTCCGGCGCCGGTTTCGCTGAAGAAGGTGTTGAAACTGTCATCACCACCTCCAACTGTCTTGTCAGATGGCATCTGTCCATCAGGTTGGATTCCATGCTCCAAACAGTACAACTCCCAACAGGCGTTGCCTATTTGGACTCCGGCTTGGCCGACATGTACTGATATACATTCACGCTAAAACAACATGTTAATTTTAAATTATTAATAAAAGTATTCAGTAAGAACTTACCATGATTAATGCTTTTCTTTAAAAGAAGTGATATGCCAAGGAATTATGAAAATTTTTGAAAAGCCAGTGATGCAGCTTTTTATTTTCTCTTTATTTATGTTTAGTTGATGTCATGGAAACTTGTTATAAAAGTTGGCTGGGGTCACAATCCACACAAGGTCTGTTCCATCTCGTACTAAAAATACTAAAAATCACTGCAACACTGCACAGTGTTTAACGGCAGCCATTTTTGTTGTCTACAATTCTTGTTCTTTGGGTTTGTGCTCTGTTTATACCGATTAATAATTGTTTTAAACGTTGTGTTTCCTACAGAGGCACTTGTAAGCCTTAAAAGAGGCATTAACGTGCTAAGAAGAAACATTTTACTTATTTTTTGTAAAAAATAAACATTATTCTATCAGGGCTGTCATCACACTGTCAAATGTCCATTTTAAGGTTACTTTGTGGGTTATGGTGAATTAACCTTAAAATTGACATTTGACATTTTTAAGACAACCCTGTTAGAATAAAGTTTATTTTTTACAAAAGAGGAGTAAAATGGTTGCCCTTCGCACTTTAAGATCTCTTTTAAGGTTACAAGTGCCTCTGTAAGAAACTCCACATTTAAAACGATTATTAATCTGTATAAACAGTACAAACCAAAAGCTCAAGAATTGTAAACTACAAAAATGGCCACCGTTAAACTTTGTGCAGTGTTGCAGTGATTTTTAGTATTTTAAATACGAGATAGAACAGACCTTGTTGAGTGGATTGTGGCTGGGGTATTTATTTACTTTTTATGGTGGTTAAAATGTAAGCTTGAATTTTTAGAGAATTTTCCTTTTATTATCTTGACAAATTTTGTCAATATTTTTAGGGTTATTTATTGCCAACATTATTTAATAAAATTAGAAAATCAACAAATAAATAAACTATCAATATACAGGGTGTTGATTATTTTATTACTTTTATTCTAACTAAGAAGGACCATCGTGTTTTAATCTTTAACTTTTTGGGACTTACCAGGAATTTCTGTTCTTTCTTCGTGCCAGCTGGCTGTTGATCCGCTACAGCCCCTTAGTTTGACCAAAACACGAAATTGATGTTAATGTTATTCGTGAAACTGTAATGCTCCAAGAGCTGGCGTCAACGTATTTAATATTTGCACTTTTTAACTTTTCTAATACTAATAACGATAACTAAAAAATAGCGAACAAAACTATCAAAACCACGCGTCGATGCCTCGATCGGTTGTGTCGTTTTTTTTTTGCCAAACGAAACTTTTTTTTTGTTTTCCCAAGAAACAAAACATTTACTATACCGGGCGGACTCCAGACAAAGTTAAATTAATTATAACAAACAAAACTAAACACAGGGTGTCCGGGAAAAGGAGGTCAATCCTTGAGTTAAAACAATAAGACTTTCATAATACCATTTTTCAATTTAGAGCTTCATGTTCGATATACAGGGCGACAAAGTTTGAAATTTAAAACTGATTTTTTTTAATAATTCGAGTAATTTATAAGATATTAAGTTTAAATTCGGTACACTACTTCAATATAAATAGTTACATTTTTGGAGACCAACAAAACAAAAAACAATTGTCAAATAATCAAAATAGGGGGGTCCAGTACTCACTGACTCCCCCTATTTTTTAGTACGAGCGCCAATGACTTCCAAACGGTATTATTTCAGGTAACCATTTATTGTTAAAAATATTTTGTCTCTTATAAAATTTTGATAAAATGATTTGTTTTAGAGATAATTTGTAAAGTATGGGTCAGTCCATATCAAATCAACCAAAGGTTCTTCCCCCACCATCTCCGATTTTGATAATTTTTGGTAAATTTGTTTACCTCACTAAAAAACTCAAAAATCCCATATATGAATTTTTTTCGATAGGTGGCTTTTGTTTTATTGATTTTTGAAAATCAAAAAATTCCGATAAATTTGGGTCTTGCAAGTACTTACAAAAATAGCGATATCTCGTAAACAATTAAAAGTAAAAAGGTCAGTGGTGGGTTATTTTAAAGGCCTATTAGAGACCTTTTTTATGATATATCACATGACCTAAACTTTTTCAAAAAAATAATAAATTTCGAAAATTTGATATGGACTGACCCATACTTTACAAATTATCTCTAAAACAAATCATTTTATCAAAATTTTATAAGAGACAAAAAATGTTCAACAATAAATAATTACCTGAAAAAATACCGTTTAGAAGTCATTGGCGCACGTACTAAAAAAAAGGGGGAGTCAGTGAGTACTGGACCCCCCTATTTTGATTATTTGACAATTGTTTTTTGTTTTGTTGGTCTCCAAAAATGTAACTATTTAAATTGAAGTAGTGTACCGAATTTAAACTTAATATCTTATAAATTACTCGAATTATAAAAAAATCAGTTTTAAATTTCAAACTTTGTCGCCCTGTATATCGAACATGAAGCTCTAAATTAAAAAATGGTATTATGAAAGTTTTAACTCAAGGAATATATGGTTAACGGATTGACCTCCTTTTCCCGGACACCCTGTATAGGTAAAATATTGTTTTATTTGTCTGTGGCCGGCTTTAGCAATTACTTTAGATGAGTTTCCAACCGAGCCGAAGGCGAATGAAAAAATTCATCGAGGATGTAATTTCGATGGATAAATGATGTCAAAAATAAAGGTGTTAACTACAATATTAAGTACATTTTTGTTAAGCACGAAAATGTTAGATAACACCATTATCTCTCGACTTCAGTTAACAATCGGAGTATTATAGGGGCGTAGGCGTAGGCGTAGGCGTAGGGGGTTTGACCCCCCTCCGAAATGTGAGAAAGTCGTTTTATATAAAATTGTTTAGAAATCCCAACAAGCTTATGATCTTTATAGTTTTATTTTACTCTTATATTTTACCAAAACCCCGCCGATTTTTTTTCTGCCTTTTATTAACCACTCGACAATATTGTTTAATTAATATATTTTGTCAAGATTATTATTACAGACATACACAAATAATGAGTACAATCATGAGCAAATTTAATATTCTTCACCTCCTTCGCCTTCACCATCACCGGAGTCAATTCCAACTTCTTCAAAATCTTTCTCCAAAGCCGCCAAATCCTCTCTTGCCTCGGAAAACTCACCCTCCTCCATACCTTCACCAACATACCAATGTACAAAAGCCCGCTTGCCATACAACAAGTCAAACTTCTGATCTAAACGACCATACGCCTCAGAAATAGCAGTGGTGTTGGACAACATGCAAACGGCTCTCTGTACTTTGGCTAAATCACCTCCAGGTACAACTGTTGGTGGTTGGTAGTTGATACCAACTTTGAACCCGGTTGGACACCAGTCCACAAACTGAATGGTACGCTTGGTTTTGATGGTGGCGATGGCTGCGTTCACGTCTTTGGGCACCACGTCGCCTCTGTACAACATACAGCAAGCCATGTATTTACCGTGTCTGGGATCGACCTTAACCATCTGGTTGGCGGGTTCGAAGCACGCGTTGGTGATTTCGGCCACGCTTAATTGTTCGTGGTAGGCTTTTTCGGCGGAGATTACAGGAGCGTAGGTAGCCAATGGAAAATGGATGCGAGGATATGGTACCAGGTTGGTCTGGAACTCGGTTAAGTCGACGTTTAGAGCACCGTCAAACCTCAAAGAAGCTGTGATGGACGAGACTATTTGGCCGATTAATCTGTTTAAGTTGGTGTAGGTCGGTCTTTCAATGTCCAAATTACGGCGACAAATGTCGTAAATGGCTTCGTTGTCGACTAAAAAGGCGCAATCTGAATGCTCGAGGGTGGTGTGGGTGGTTAAAATGGCGTTGTAGGGTTCAACAACAGCCGTGGAAATCTGTGGGGCAGGATAGATAGCGAACTCCAACTTGGATTTTTTACCGTAATCCACAGACAATCTTTCCATGAGCAAAGAAGTAAAACCTGACCCAGTGCCACCTCCAAACGAATGAAAAATAAAGAAACCCTGTAGACCGGTGCATTGATCAGCCAGTTTCCTGATGCGATCCATCACCAAATCAACAATTTCCTTGCCAATACTGTAATGTCCTCTGGCATAATTATTGGCGGCATCTTCTTTACCAGTAATCAGCTGCTCGGGATGGAACAATTGCCTGTATGTTCCAGTTCTTACTTCATCCACCACGGTGGGTTCCAAATCGATAAAAACGGCCCGTGGCACGTGTTTCCCAGCTCCGGTTTCGGTAAAGAAGGTGTTGAAACTGTCATCACCTCCTCCAACTGTCTTGTCAGATGGCATCTGTCCATCAGGTTGGATTCCATGCTCCAAACAGTACAATTCCCAACAGGCGTTGCCTATTTGGACTCCGGCTTGGCCGACATGTACTGATATACATTCACGCTATAAAAAAATATAATTTTTTTTGTAATTTTTTATTATTATTATTGAAAAGAAACTTACCATGATTTATGCTTGTTAATGGTTTTCTTTATAAGAAGCGATATGCCATGGAATTATGAAAATTATGAAAAGCCAGTGATGCAGCTTTTTCTTTTCTTTTTATTTTTGTTTAGTTGATGTCATGAAAACTCGTTGGCTGGGTTATTTACTCTGTATAGTTGTTAGGATTTTAAGCAGGTATTTTTATAGAATATACATATCTTGATACATATTGTCAATATTTTTAGGGTTAGTTTTTGCCAAGAAATAAATAAACTGTCAATACGGATGTTGTTTAATCTCTTTTGTTTCATTTTTAATTAATGTTGTTTTAGAAACATTGTTTTTATTTATCATTGTTTGAAAATTGCTGTCACATATCAGAAGTCTCATAACTGTCTTCTGAAAAATACCAAATTTGGGGGTAATTTAACAATTTTCGTGGGGTTTACCAAATTTTCTTGTGTTTAAAATCGTCCACCTAAAAAGACAATCCGAAAATGGTAAGAAAACCAAAATAATTTAAAAACACCTTCTGAATAATGTATTCTAGCGTGAATGTATATCAATTCATGTGGGCCAAGCTGGAGTTCAAATAGGCAACGCTTGTTGGGAGTTGTATTGCCTGGAGCACGGAATTCAGCCCGATGGAATAATACCCGAAGATAAAAAATGCTACAGCGGTGACATTAGTTATAACACGTTTTTCAATGAGACAGGCGGTGGTAAACACGTACCAAGAGCCATCTTTATCGACTTGGAACCTTCTGTAGTCGACGAAACAAGAACCGGTGTATATAAACAGCTGTTTCATCCTGAACAACTTATTTCTGGGAAGGAAGATGCGGCTAATAACTACGCTAGGGGGCATTATTCGGTTGGGAAAGAAATAATTGAGGTGGTGCTTGATAGAGCCAGAAAACTAGCTGATCAATGCTCAGGTTTACAGGGGTTCTTTATTTTCCACTCCTTTGGAGGTGGCACGGGAGCTGGATTTACATCTTTGTTAATGGAGAAGTTGTCGAATGAGTACGGTAAAAAATCGAAACTTCAATTTGCGATTTACCCTGCCCCACAAATATCCACAGCTGTTGTGGAACCCTATAATGCCATATTAACGACTCACACAACTCTAGAGCATTCGGATTGCGCTTTTTTGGTGGACAATGAAGCCATATATGACATATGCATAAGGAATTTGGATATAGAAAGACCAAGTTACACGAACCTGAACAGGTTAATTGGTCAGATCGTTTCATCCATTACCGCTTCATTAAGATTCGACGGCTCCTTGAATGTCGATTTAACTGAGTTTCAGACAAACTTGGTGCCTTTTCCTAGAATCCATTTTCCATTAGCCACCTATGCTCCGGTTATTTCCGCCGAGAAAGCATTCCACGAGCAGCTCAGCGTGGCGGAGATCACCAATGCCTGCTTCGAACCCGCCAATCAAATGGTCAAGTGCGATCCCAGGCAAGGAAAATACATGGCTTGCTGCATGTTGTACAGAGGCGACGTGGTGCCCAAAGACGTGAACGCTGCCATTGCTTCAATAAAAAATAACAAGGCGGTGAGGTTTGTTGATTGGTGCCCCACTGGTTTCAAAGTTGGTATCAACTATCAACCACCAACGGCCGTCCCTGGAGGTGACTTGGCCAAAGTTCAAAGAGCTTTGTGCATGTTGTCGAACACCACTGCTATAGCTGAAGCTTATGCAAAGTTGGACAGGAAATACGATATGATGTATTCAAAGAGAGCTTTTGTGCATTGGTACGTCAGTGAGGGTATGGAGGAAGGTGAGTTTAGCGAAGCCAGAACAGATTTGGCAGCGTTGGAAAAAGACTTTGAAGAAATAAGTGCTATGACCATTGGCGGGGACGGAGATGGACTTGATGAATTTTAATTTACATTCAATAAAGAGTAACATATTATTTTTGATTATTTTAATTTAAAAATGCTGGTATAGTCGCGTCCAAATCTGTATGGATGGACGTCATCAATATGATATAATGACGTCAGAATTACCAACTTTGAATTGTAAAGTAACTGCCGTTAAATTTGCTTTTTTAAATCGTAGGTAATTTTGATGTGTTATTATAAAAAAATATCATTCATTTGCGTATTGTTGGTAATAGCTTAGGGCTGGCGCTCACCGTTCAATATTATAGATCGCCGTAATTTTAAATTTGACGTTTTTTTTGTAATTTTAACATTTCGTCCGTAAGCATCGTTTAATGCAGATTATAATAGTATATTACGCAACAAGTGTGGGAAGTGGCAAATTACGCATGAGTGGAAAAAGTTGCGCACGAGCGAAGCGAGTGCGCATTTCCACGAATGCGTAATTTGCCTTCCCACACGAGTTGTGTACTATACTTTTTCTACGACCACACTCTGTTCGCCTTAAAAAAAAATAAAAAATAAAAACTCCCAAAAATTTTAATTTATTTATGCTAATGAACCACTTACATTTCTTTATAGTAATTATTAATCTCGTATCGTTCGCGAGATTTAACAGGTAGTAAATTTTTGGTGGCAGCTTTTGCGCTATCAACAATCTCAGGTGGTGTACATAAACAATCCTGATCACTCGACATATCTGCTGTAAATAGAATATTATTTTAAAATAATTACGGTTTTATTTCAAAATTACTTTAATCGTGAAATTTTTTTGATAATTCTATGTAGTTTATTACAAAATTTTTGTGTTCAAGTTTCATCGCCGTACACTGACAGTCGTCAAATATTGACAGTTCACAGCAGCTTTACCAACATAACCTTAATAATATAAACAAAAATCCCCAGAAAAAAACAAAATAGACAGAAAAACCCTAAAAGTGTGTTTTTTTATTACCATTACGCACGTGTGCGTAATGACTAACTTTCAGTTATTAAGACTTTTACTGTAATGATCAAATTACATAGTGGTCGTAGAAAAACAATTTTATACATTGTGTTTATCAAATTCTACCCCTGGCAACGCCAACAGTTAGATTGCAAAGACATTGCGCCCTTAATAATACATTTGGGGGAAATAATCAGACACCAAGTCACCTGGTTCGCTCTGATGACAAAGGCGACTGGTAATTTAATATTTTTTTGTTATTTACATAGGTAGGGAAAATTTCACGTAAATTCAACACGAGAAAAACCCTTGCCATTTAGAAATTCCATGGCAATTTTTCCATGGGTTCCCTGACTCAAAATAAAAATTCTATTTTAATTTTAGCCTATGATTTTTTAAATTTTCATGATTATAACGATTTTGCCAATATATCATCGATCATAACTTTGGTTCCAATTGAGATTTTTCTTGTATTGAAAGAAGCTATTTGAAATAAATATTTTTGATGCTGTGGCATATCGGTACATTATGATTTTTTTCTTCGAAAACTAAACCATTTTCTACACTGTTTGTATTTTTTTTAATTTTAATTTTTTTTTTAATCTTTAAACGAATATAAGTTTTTTTATTTATATTAGATCGTGGCTATCGAAAAATTAATAATTTTTTCGGAATCTTTAATTTTAATAATTTTGATTTTTTCCACTTTCGGGCATTTTGTAATGTCAAAAATGATTTTTTTTATTAATTTTTTTTGTATTTAGCCTTTTTAACTATCGTTTAAAAAATATTATTATTAATAATTATTTTAAGATTGAAAATCAATGAATTCATACTCTTTATTTTTTTTAAACAATTTTAAACCTTAGACTCCCCCCCTCCCCTTGGTGAGATGTGAGATTTTGCTCGACTCCCTCCCCCCTCCCTTAATCTCACGTGAGATTTTTTTAAAATGCATGGTTTTAATGTAAATAAGTTAATTTGTGATTAATTCCATTAGATTTATTAAAAAAACAATTGTTATAATTGTTTACTTAATTTAACCCAGTTTTCTCGCAATTTTACACTGTTTCATTCGAAAAGAAAAAATTACGTGATATTTGCCGAGACTACCCTCCCCCCTAAACACCTCACGTAATTAATGGATGCCCCCTTAGCCCGTGGGCTAAATAAAAAAAATCATATTTGATATTACAAAATGTCCGAAAGTGGAAAAAATCGAAATTATTAAAATTTAAAATTCCGAAAAAAATATTAATTTTTCGATAGCCACGATCTAATATAGATAAAAAAATTGTAAAAAAAATTAAAAAAAGATATACAAACAGTGTGGAAAATGGATTTTTAGTTTTCGAAGAAAAAATAGTGTGCCGATATTCCACAGCATCAAAAATATTTATTTCAAATAGCTTGTTTCAAGACAATAAAAATAATTGGTCGTTCGTCGAAATCGCTCAATTGGAACCAAAGTTATGATCGATGACATATTGGCAAAATCGTTGTAATCATGAAAACAATTGACAAACCGTGCTAAAATTAAAATTGAATTTTTATTTTGAGTAAGGGAACCCATGGAAAAATTGGCATGGAATTTCGAAATGGCAAGGGTTTTTTTCGTGTCGAATTTACATGGAATTCCCCATATGTAATAAAAATTTAATAAACTTCGATGTTTTCTCTCTAAAAACATTTAATAAAAATTTGCCAGTAACAAACTCCTAATTAATGTAGAAGATTATAACAATGATGACATAATTCCATCTTAATAAACAGCCCCTACACGAGTAAAATATTGTGTCTGGGCACGTATGAATAGACCTTAACGCTGACGCCATATGCTGTTGATGACATCCATACAGATTTGGCCGCATCTCTAGTAAGAGAATTTCTCCTAGAGAAATAATATTTAATAAGGATTATAAAATTTGATTCCCCATATTTTTGCATAAATTCTATTTTAAATTTAATTCATGTAGGATTTTTCTAATTAAAATTTCTTTCATATTTCCATTTGAACAAACTTTTTAACGACTTAACGAATAACCAGAACTTCTCTGAATTATTCACTCTTTCATTCGACAAAGACTGCGTTTCAGTCATAATTTAGTTTGGCTTAAACGAGGGTTCAGCAGGGCTAAGCATTTAATTTTGGGGTCTCAGCTATGATAACACAAAAGGCTGCATTAAACTTTTATGTTAATTGTTTTGAATACCTCCTAAATAAAATTTTTTGACATTGTAAGTATTCAACTTTTAATTAATGAAATACACAACAACTTTAGATGCTTATAATATAAAATACAATATAAATCTAATATTCCCCCTCACAATCTTCTGGATCTATCGAATCCATACCAAATTCTTCAAAATCTTTCTCCAAAGCAGCTAAATCTTCCCTTGCTTCAGAAAACTCCCCCTCCTCCATACCTTCCCCGACATACCAATGGACAAATGCTCTTTTGGAATACATCAAATCATACTTCTGATTCAACCTGGCATACGCTTCAGCTATGGCAGTAGTATTGGACAACATGCACACGGCTCGCTGTACTTTGGCCAAATCTCCTCCAGGTACAACTGTTGGTGGTTGATAGTTGATGCCAACTTTAAACCCGGTCGGACACCAGTCCACAAACTGAATGCTACGCTTGGTTTTGATGGTGGCTATGGTCGCGTTCACGTCTTTAGGCACCACGTCGCCTCTGTACAACATACAGCAAGCCATGTATTTACCGTGTCTTGGATCGCACTTCACCATCTGGTTGGCGGGTTCGAAACACGCGTTGGTGATTTCGGCCACGCTCAATTGTTCGTGGTAGGCTTTTTCGGCGGAGATTACAGGAGCGTAGGTAGCCAGGGGGAAATGTATGCGAGGATATGGTACCAGGTTGGTCTGGAACTCGGTTAAGTCGACGTTTAGAGCACCGTCAAATCTCAATGAAGCTGTAATGGACGAGACTATTTGGCCGATTAATCTGTTTAAGTTGGTGTAGGTCGGTTTCTACACTGTTTGTATTTTTTAATATTTTTTTTTTAATCTTTAAACGAATACAAGTTTTTTTTGTCTATCGCACGTGGCTATCGAAAAATAAATAATTTTTTCGGAATTTTTAATTTTAATAATATTGATTTTTTTTATTTATTTATTTTTTGTCTATCGCACGTGGCTATCGAAAAATTAATAATTTTTTCGGAATTTTTAATTTTAATAATATTGATTTTTTTTATTTAATCTTTTTTTATTTAGCCCTTTTAACTATTAAAATCGTTTAAAAAAATATTATAATTAATAATTATTTTAAGATTGAAAATCAATGAATTTATAGGCACTATTCTTTATTTTTTTTAAACAATTTTAAACCTTAGCCCTTGGGCTAAATAAAATAAATCATTTTTGATATTACAAAATGTCCGAAAGTGGAAAAAATCGAAATTATTAAAATCTTAAATTCCGAAAAAAATATTAATTTTTCGATAGCCACGATCTAATGTAGATAAAAAAATTGTATTCGCTTAAAGATTAAAAACAAAAAAAATAAAATTAAAAAAAAAATACAAAAAATACAGTGTAGAAAATGAATTTGGCCGCATCTATAGTAAGAGAAATAATATTTAATAAGGATTATAAAATTTAATTCCCCATATGTTTGCATAAATTCTTTGCATATTTTAAATTTAATTTATGTAGGATGACTAATTTTTTTTTCTAATTAAAATGTCTTTCATATATCCATTTGAACAAACTTTATAACAACTTAACGAATAACCAGAACTTCTCTGAATTATTCACTCTTTCATTCGACAAAGACTGCGTTTCAGTCATAATTTAGTTTGGCTTAGACAAGGGTTCAGCAGGGCTAAGCATTTAATTTTGGGGTCCCAGCCATGACAACACAAAAGGCTACATTAAACTTTTATGTTAATTGTTTTGAATACCTTCTAAATAAATTTTTTTGACATTGTAAGTATTCAACTTTTAATTAATAAAATACACAACAACTTTAGAAGCTTATAATATAAAATACGATATAAATCTAGTATTCCCCCTCACAATCTTCAGGATC